GATGATAACGATCCGTTCTTTCGGATGTTTTCTCATCGTCAGCTCTGGAGATCGGAAATTCCCGATGATGCAATGAATGATATAAAAAAGTGAAGGAACGTATATACTTTATATGCTGGGATATCCTTCCAGAAGAAAAGTGAAGCCCTTTTGAAAGTGTTTTCGAAAAGAAGTGGCTGGAAAAATAGGCCGATCAGTTGATCTTGGCTCTGTAACAGAGAGAGGAGTTGTTTTTGAAGAGGAGATCTCAGCTGAGCCGGGCCGAAAAACAAGTTCAACCGCTAGCTCTCCCTCCGCTGACATGAAAATCACAGGCCCGAAAGTGAGAGGCTTCGATTTGTCACAAAAGTTTGTTGACGAAAACAAATCGCCGAAATTTGTTGACTGCACAGTGCAGAAACAACAAAAGCAAGGAAAAATAAAATCAGCGGGAAACCCAATTCTGAGCTTGCGACACATTGCTTTTCTTCGTTTTTTCGGCGACATTTGCTCGCTTTTTCACGGTGCAAAGGCGAGCCCCCACTTGTGGGTAATCACTTTGCAGGCAGCTAGAAGAAGCACGGAGATGCCGGTGCAATCTGCAGTTTGCGATGTTCTTGAAACGCCTGGTCGCACTTCAAAAGCCGAACCGAGACATTCACCAATCTCTTTGTGAGACAACACTCAAACTAACAAGGGAAGTACCCCAAGTGCGACGCTCACAAGGGAATGGACTTTCTGTGTAAATCGATTTTGGCTTGGGACCTAGTCAGATCGAAAGGTGTGTGGTAGTCGATTATTCACTTGGGTGGAAATCTCTGCGCGGGGCTTCAAAGCCGAGAAAATCGGCTTCAAAGTTTGGACGAAAATCAAAGGGTAGGGATCCCAGAAAAGGAGCAATAAAAAGTGTGAAACAGTGGCCGAGTGGTCAGTGCGCTCGCTTTTTGCGCAAAAGGTTGCAGGTTCGAATCTTTCCAAGCTCAAATCATCATTTATCGTTTTTACTTTTGATTTCTTCGTGCTAATCCGGCTGTACATTTAAAAAAGGGGTATAGAAAAAAAGTTAACATAATGGAAAGTTGTTTTTGAATACATCAGGTTGATGGTGTGCCCTGCGCTCTAAAACTGTAAAGGGAAGGTGCGAAGCCGTTGAAAATGGAAAAGTTCCGTTTAAGATATACTTCTTGCATCGATAATCGAGTTCACGGGGAAAAAATTAATAGAAGTTTTTGTCTAAAAAAGTTATGAATGGCAGCAGATTCGAACTTGCGACCTTTTGCGCAAAAAGCGAGCGCACTGACCACTCGGCCACTGCTTTACACTTTTAATTGCTCCTTTTCCGGGATCCTTATCCTTTGACTTTCGTCCAAACTTTGAAGCCCATTTTCTCGGCTTTGAAGCCCCGCGCAGAGATTTCCCCCCAAGTGAATAATCGACTACCACACACCTTTCGATCTGACTAGGTCCCAAGTCAAAATCGATTTACACATAAAGTCCATTCCCTTGTCAGCCTTTGGTGAAACTTGGCACAAGTTTTGAACTTTTTTTTTTAAAATACATGCGGAAATCCAAGATTGATTTTTTTAGAAACATTGCCCTGTATGGTGGAAATAGTCAGGAAACTTTCCGTTCCAAAATTCGGCAAAAAGTCTTATATTTTGGCCGACTTTCGATCTAAAAATCTGGGTTGTTTCTGCAAAGCGCGAGCTAGGATTCTCGCATACCTCTTACAGGGGAAGTACTCCAAGTGCGACGCTCATATTTTGGTGAAACTGGGCACAAATTTAGAAGTTTTTTTTTCTAAAATATCTGCGGGAATCCTAGCTCGCGCTTGGCAGAAACAACCTAGATTTTTAGATCGAAACTCGGCGAAAATTTGACACTTTTTACCGAATTTTGGCACGAAAAGTTTCATGCTTATTTCTACCATAGAGGGCCATTTTCCCACAAAAAATTAATTTTTTCCGCACAAAACTGGCAAAGTTACGGCCAAAAAGCGTTTTTCTCTCTAACCGCTCTCCACGGTTAGCATGCTCTCTCGGCGGCAAAGATCGTTCAATATCTCGGCGACGCTTGCAAAGCGCGAGCTAAAACTTTCAGGAATTGATATTTAGTATAACGTACGTTTTGTTTGTAAAATTTGCTTCTATATACCTTCTACAGTAGTCTCTTTCTTGGCTGTCCTTTTCTCATCAAAATTGCCCGTTTTTGACACATTCCGTCTGTGTATGTAAGACCATGCTGTACGCTACATTCCATGGCATTTTTACGTTTTGTTCTTTCATTATTGATGTGTTGAAAATTATAGTTTAAGCTTTGCGTTCTTTACTCAAACGTCCAGTAGACCTCAAAGTTCTTTGCGACAGTAGGAAGTTTATTGATGACATTACACTTGCCGGCAAATAACGCCAGAAAATTCCTCTGACGCACATGTGGAAACTGGGCTAGCTTTAGGGCCGTAAGAGTTCTTGACGTTGCCCTCCAAAATTCCCAACAACAAATCCGCGAAAAACAAGTAAACAAACGATATCGGTGGTGTCCTCGCTCTAGTCACGTTTTCTCGCTCTTTGGTTTCGAATTTCAATAGCTCTGCAGCTGAAACCCAACGTAATCTGCTTTCGGAATGACCGTTTGTGCGTAATACGGAGATTAGAGCTATTTCCGGTGCGAAAGTTATGTTTACAGTAGAGCACGGTGTGGGGAAATTCGTGAAGGAATCAGTGCCGCTTAGTTGGTGATCGGATATTTATACATTGCGAAAATGGTCTTTGAACGTTTTGGAGATTGTTTACAGGAGTGTTGATGAAGGGATGACATAGAAACTTTTGATGAAATCTATCATAAACTTTGCAATAATACTGCAGAACGAATACCCATAATGTGAAGCTTATATTTTCTTTAAATTTTATAAACTTTTTGGGTGTATGCCACATTTCAATTACACAAAATTTGAACTCACGGCTTTCAGGAGCGACTAAAATATTTGTAAAGACGGGTGCCTGACTGAATATGAACTGACTGAATATGAAGGACTGAATATGAACTGTGGTGCTGACTGAATATGAAATTTGGCAAGTTTGGTCTATTTCAAGGACTATATAGTACCAAGTGCTATAAATGTGTTTTTGGGCTGTACTAAGCACCAAACCAACACCATTACCGACCAAATTTTCTCCTCGTACTAAATAGTACCAGGTAGTACTATTTTGCACCAAGTGTTAAAAATGTTTTTTTAAGCAGTACTAGACACCAAAACAACACCATTAACGTCTAAAGGTGTTGTACGTCGAAAAAACTTCAAAAACAGTCCTTAATCGGAACCTAGGTAGTAACAGTAACAGAAACCCGGTTTTCATACTCAGTCAGCACCCCAGTTCATATTCAGTCAGTTCATATTCAGTCTCGCTTCGGTAAAGACTGTTAAAACAGTTTTTGCTGACGAGAAAGAAAATACGAAATGTTTTGAGCGATCAAAGCGAAAAAAAAAATTTTTGGTTATCACTCTGTCGGAAAAATTATGTGGATTTGTCGCTACAAAATGGCACGCATCGGGAGATTGCGCACAAAGTCTGCAGTCGCGGCTAGCCGCCGCAAAACGATGATGAGCATCCCAAAAAAACGATCCACATTATTTTTTCGACAGACTGATATTATACTACTTCTGAGAAGAGAGCATTGATTTTTGTAGGAACATAGGCTTTTGAAAGTAGAATAAAGCAAAAAATATGCATAACCCAGCAAAAAATATTCACAAGGCAAGTACTCCAAGTGCAACGCTCAGATTTTCTTTAAATTTTGCACATACGTCGGGCATGGACTAGATATCAATTCCTGAAAGTTTTAGCTCACGCTTTGCAGGCACCGCCGAGATCTCGAACGATTTTTGCCGCCGAGAGAGCACGCTAAACGTGGAGAGCGGTCAGAGGGAAAACACCTTTATGGCCATAAATTTGGCAGTTTCGAGCGGAGAAATTTGATTTTTTGTAGAAACATTATCCTTTACGGTTGATATAGGCATGAAACTTTTCGAGCCGAAATTCGGCAAAAAGTCCTAAATTTTGGCCGACTTTTGATCTAAAAATCTCGGTTGTTTCTGCAAAATGCGAGCTAAAATTCTCGCATATATCTTAGAAAAAATTATTCTAAATTTGTGCCAAGTTTCATCAAAACCTGAGCGTCGCACTTGGAGTACTTCCCCTGTCAGTATTGGCCTACGTTTGGCCTAAAAATCTCGGTTGTTGCTTCGTGCATTAGCTAGAGAGCTTTATCTGCATAAATTCCCATTTCTTTTACTCGTCAAAAAATTTCATAAATGTTACAGTACACTTACAGTAGGCCACAAAATGTGAATTTTTTTCGAAAAAAGTTGTTTACCTTTGTGAAAAACCTTACCAGCAATTCTGGATCATCTCAAAAAAACGTCTTTAACCACCTCGTTTCACAGAGAACTCCTTCAGCACAAACTGTGAACTTAACATTCATCTCATTGCATCACAAAACCACCCCAACTTGACCTCGAACTTTGGTCGATCCATTCAGTAATAATTCCACTTTTTCCCATGTGATTCCCACTGATAACAAAGCAATTTCTCATCTGATAAAGCAATTTTACTATTAGTAAAAATCAAGGGTTTATTAGAAAAAAACAAAACATGCGAAGAACACCAATGACTTATTACAATTGTGTGCCTAATACGACGTGAAATATGTTAGTAATGGCGAGAATAAATATCTTCATGCAAGCTATATGTACAGACTATAATTTTGGAGGGAGATACATGAATTGTGGGGAGAAACATTTACATCGTTAGAGCCGCGGGAGAGAGTTAACATCAACATACATAAGTGTATATTGAAGTGTAAAATTTGAACGAAAGTTTGGAGGGTTAAAACTGGACTTTGAGATTTTGTGATTTTTAGAGGGAAAATCGCAAAATCTTTTCAAAAACTGCAAAAAAATAAGACCTTGAGATCTTCAGATCAGGTAAGATAGCTGTATAACTTTCCATCAAAATTCCAGGTCAAAACGGGATGATCCATGGGTAATATCTCGACAAATTCGGTCGCTCTCCAACTCCCTTGGTCTTCCGGAACTTCTCCGCGTACGGCTTTAGCCTTTCAATGGCGTCGTCGATCTGCTTAATGCTCATCCGACTGATATACTGCTCCCATTCCGGCGAAAGTTCCTGCTCTCCGCCCGCATTCTTCTTCTCGTGCGAGCGCATCCGCCGATACACATCGTAATAGGTGATGGATGTGGCTACTGAAATTTGGATGGATTAGGAATGGAGATAGAATACACATAATATAAGAGCGAAATAACTGGAGACTATAGTCTAATCCGGCTTCAATGAGCAGGTGGGTTCAACAATTTTATTTTGGCTGTGAATGGCAGAACCTTTAGTAAATTTATGGACGAAATTGAAATTTTTTTTATGAAATACTATATTTTAAAGGGTAATTTTGCAAGTTGCCTTCTGCATGGCAAGAAGGCAAAGCTACAAATACAAGTTTATTTTTATTCCTGTCAAAATCAGGCGTAAACTTAAAGCCACATTCTCAATGGCCGGTTAGGAAATGTGGCTTTAAAATTTCACCAATTTGCAAGCAGAAAGGCAAAAAACCTTCAATTTTGCATCCGGGAAGCATCAAAAATGTGGCAAAATGCTTCCCTCTCCAAGTGAAAAGCCTTTGTTTTGAAGGGCTTCCCTCACAAAAAGAGTGGGCGCGCCCTTCAAATCTGAGTTTTTTCACTTGGAAATGGAGGCATTTTGCCACATTTTTGATACTTCCCGGATGTAAAATAGTACGTTTTTTTCCACTGGATCAGGTCCCCCACTGTATTTTAAAGGGTAATTTTGCAAGCTGTCTTTTGCATGGCCAGCAGGCGAAGCTACAAATACAAGTTTATTTTTATTCTTGTCAAAATCAGGCGTATACTTAAAGCCACATTTTCCATGGCCGGCTGGAAAATGTGGTTTTAAAATTTCACCAATTTGCAGGCGGAAAAGAGAGCTGAGAATTTATCAGCAAGCAATAAGCCTGTTATGATGCAAATCCAAGCGTCGCTTCCCCGTCAATCCCACGGTAAACACTCCCTATTCAAAGGCTCTTTTCGCAATGCAAAATTTTGCTTTTATCAACAAAATAAGCCTCACTTATTGTGCCCAAAATTTCCCCACATCCTGCTCTACGGTAGGCGAAGATCTCCCAGCGGAAGTACCGTAGCTCTAATCCGCCGATTACGCGGAAACGGTCATCGGATTATGGGCTATTTCACTAAAAAAAGGTTTAAATTGGAACGAAAATTAAACGGGAACGTGATTCCGGAGAGGATACAACCTTATCTATATATGTTTACTAATCTCTCACCGACTTGTTACTCGAATTTTGGAGGCTAATGTCAACGAGGACGTCAGTAATTTTGGATTTTTTTATTGAGGGCGTAAGCTGGAAAGGGCAAGGAGCGGATGGTGGATTAGAAGGAGGAGACAAGGTAATTGCAAAAAAATGTTAAGGTATATGTAAAAATACAGTGAAAAAATGTGATGACAATAATTTTCAACAATAGCTTTAGGCATTTTGATTGAAAAAATGATGATTTTTTGTCGGAATTTTGAGCATTTTGAGTTGAAAAATAGCTTGAAATTCTCTAACAAAAAAAAGAATTCAAACGGTAAATCCTTTGATCGACTCTACAAGGTGAATTTTTTGACTTGATTTGCTCAAATTTCGCCTCCACGAAATGATTACCCTACAAATTTCCAGAAAACCCCGGGAACTCCTCCATAATCTAAATTAATCCGCTTTTTCGAACTCTTCTAAAATTAACCTTTACACAGGCCCATCAGGTTGATGATTGTCGTCAAAAACATCGTAAGCCCCGCTCCAACTACACTCGGACTCCGTGAGAATCCGGAAAAAGTGTGAATTTGGCGGTCAAAACAAGGTTCAGAGACGGTGTTTTGGCGTGTCATTACGTTAATGAATTAGTATTTTGGGGAGCTTATCGCGGAGGGAGGAAGTTTTTGTGGCGTGAATCGGAGACACGGTAAATTCTTGGGAATTATGGGGAAAGTGCGTAATGAAAAACATGATGGGGAGGCTCAAGAAGTGACATGTTTAATCAGGCTTCTTCTGTGAGTATGTCGGGAAAATAATGAGCACAATTTCGCTACACCAATTGTATTGCTGAAGTTAAAAAAAGCAATTTGATTTTGAAGCGATGCGATTCATTTGTGATGTGATTTTCGATGCGTCAATCTTGGTCATTATTTTCCCGACAGACTGATATTTATAACAGAATTTTTGTTGGGATTTGAGAAAGTAAAAAATATGTGTAAAATGTGGGCAAGGAGAGAGGATAAAAGGCAAAATACGGGGATCAAAATTTACCTATCGATCTAACCTATACTGGTTGACAAAATTTTCTTTCCACCCCGTATCTCGGGAACCGCGGGGCCTAGAACCTCTAAATTCGGCATAGAAACATCCTAGGACAGTCTAACATCATGCAAAAAAAATCATATCATTTGCCGGGCAGCAATTTTTGGCCCGGCCCGGCCCCTGAGCCATGTCTAATCTAACCCGGAAGGGTATGTAAAAAAAGCTTTTTTATCAGCTTTTCGCACACTGTCGCACAAAAAATTGCATCACAAATGAGTTGCATCGCTTCAAAATCAAATTGTTTTTTTTAAATTCAGCAACCCGACATTGTCCGTATTATTTTCCCGACAGACTGATAAGAAAACCCTTCATAAGCATATCACTGCTTGAACTTCTCCTTTGGCCATCCCAACACGCTTTTGATTACGCACTTTCTCCGTAATTCCCAAGAATTTACCAAAGTCCTCTACTTAAAACAATTTGTAAAACCCCAGGGGAATTTTGAAGATTATACGGGGACTGTTGAAAGTACAGCACTTGAATTATAATATCATGCAACTTGGCACTTATTATACATATTTAGATGGAGAATTCTATTGCTTTTTGTAAGGTGCATGAGAATGTTATACTAAGGGAAAATCGCCAAGATTTTCACACCATAAAAATTGGAAAAAAATCAGCTTTTTTCATATACAGTGAGGGACCTGATCCAGTGGCAAAAAACGTATCATTTTGCATCCGAGAAGTGTCAAAAATGTGGCAAAATGCCTCCCTCTCCAAATAAAAAAAACTCGGTTTTGAAAAGTTCTTTTTATGAGAAGCTTTTTCACTTGGCGATGGAAGCATTTTGCCACATTTTTGATACTTCCCGGATACAAAAAGGTACTTTTTTTTGCCACAGGATCAGGTCCGCCACTGTACGAAGTTTTGAAAATTTTCAGCTCTAGTGCAAAACAAAGATCACCTCATACGAAACAATACAAAACCGCAGCAAAACTTACATTGTATGCAGAGAAAAACAGCCAGTATCCTCATGTACAATTGTGACATTCCGAATGCCCGAAAATACCAGTTTCGTCCAGATATATATACAAACCGAGAGTGCACGCCTTCTGAAAAAAACGGTGAAATTTATAGTGGCAAGGGGTTACGAAAACACGGAATTTGGAAACGCTCGAGCTGAGTTGTCGATATAAGACGAATGAAAAGTAGATCTTTCTGGGTTGGGGTCACATTCGACCCAAAAGACGTGCATCTTGGACTTTAAAGGAATGCGGCGTGAACGCATAACTAATGATACATATATTTATAACCAAAAACCATCGCAAAATTTAGCGAATATGACATCAGATGGCCCGGAAAGCCAGCTGAAATCGCGAGAAAAATGCAGCGAAATATTTAAATATTACGAATCCAAATCTTTAAATATTACGGTTTTGTAGCGCGGACAGCCAGAATGCACGATTGTGAAAATGCTCAATTACCGGTAGTTATGGGTAAATTAAGAATTTTAATAAATGCGGGGAATACATATTAAAATTGCGTGGTGAGAAGGCTTCAAAGAGTGCGAGAAAAAAGGTTGGGGAGCCAGTAAATTTTTAATCAAATGGCGACAAAATACACGTATTATATATAGTATATATATACATATATTTATATACATATATCGGTGATAAGATGGAAGTGGGCAAAGCTCCAAAAAATCGGCAAATTGACCGTGAAGAAAGGACTCGAGAACCAAGGTTGAAGAGAGCAATTTTGAGGGCGGAGAATACTAAGATGGTGAGAAAATACCGGAAAATGGCATAGTGCAAAAAGCATACGGTTATAGCATGTGAATTCGGAAATGAGGGCGGATGAAGGTGAAAAAATGGATCGGTTGCTCGGTTGCGCTCAAAAACAAGGTAAGATCTCTGGTGTACTTTGCACAGCCCACTAACTACGGACTTCCTGAGCGATTATGTCTTTGTAAGACATGAGACATGAGCCAGAAATCGACAGAGTAATATCACTGTGGCTAAAGGTAGAATGACTTAGCAGCAAGCTCTAGTCAGGCAGAAAAGATACAGGAACAATTAAATAAAGTTTTAACGAAGAAACAGCTAACAAGGGAAGTACCCCAAGGGCGACGCTCAGATATTCTTTAAATTTTGCCCACACGTCGGTAAGTAACAATTCCAAAAAGTTTTAACTCGCGTTCTGCAAGGGCCGCCGAGATATTGGACGATCTTTTCCGCCGAGAGAGTACTCTAAACCCGGAGAGCCGTCAGAGAGAAACTCACTTTTTGGCCATAACCTTGATATGGCCAAAAATTCGTGCGGAAAAAACTCTTTTTTTTGAAACGTTACCCTCTATGGTAAAAATAGGCACAAAACTTTCCGCCTAAAAATCTCGGTTGTTTCTGCAAAGCGGGAGCTAGGATTCTCGCATATATCTTAGAAACAAATATTTTAAATTTGTGCCAAGTTTCATCAAAATCTGAGCGTCGCATTTGGGGTATTTCCCCTGTAAACAAAGTGACTTATAAAAAAATTATAAAGATTGTGGAACTCTGATATAAAAAAGCACAAGTTTTTTGCAAAAATACAAAATGTAGGGCTGTTTTGATTGCACAACGAATAAAAACACGATCGTAAATGTATAAAAAACATGTTATCAACAAAGTGAAGTAGTAGGTTTGCAATGCATAAGAACTCGCTAAAGTGCAACTGCTTTAAAAAAAATAGACGGACTCTAGCCCAAAAACACATAGCATAGGACGTCTCTACAAGACGTTCTATGGCAAATGCTTTTCCTTCTACAGTTAGGGACTTGATACAGTGGCAAAAACGTATCATTTTGCATCCGGGAAGTATCAAAAATGCGGCAAAATGCCTCCCTCTCCAACTAAAAAAACTCCGTTTTGAATTGCGCGACCTTTCCCTCACAAAAAGAGCTTTTGAAATCGGAATTTTTTCACTTGGAGAGGGAGGTATTTTGCTTCATTTTTGATACTTCCCGGATTCAAAATGCCATGTTTTTGGCCAATGGATCAGGTCCGCCACTGTAAAACGAAACTTGCGATAACAAACAACTGCATAAAATCTCCCTATAAAACGATGACTTGATACGTCTATACAAACTTGTATTCACAAAGAACTGCCCACCCTACTGTAGTGCCTCCTATCTCAACAAGTTTCCCACTTGAACCTAAACTTCCACCTACAATTACAATATCATCAAAATCTCAGCTATATCTACTATTTTCAATTTGCTTTGTATGCAGAGAAAATTACTGCATTTCTCAAATTTTCCGGAACAACAGCAAGGTATGAAAAAGCGAATGTCTGGGAACACGTTCCGCGTGCCTAAGACGGCTACACTGTAATTGGCGTGTTAATTTTCAGCAAAAGCTGAGGCTGGAGTTTGAGGCGGAAATCACAAAAAAATGTATTGTTACAAATACAAGTTTATGGGTTCCTCTGAGAGGCAAAACATAATATTATTATAACGTTTCGTATTTCGGCTTTATGTAGAACAAGGGTCTAGAATTTCAGGGTGATTTTTGGATATTAAAATCGACTTATTATAGCTATGAGATCCGAAAAAGCAAAATGTGAAAAGTCACCTTGAGATGAGAAAAATATAATACCACACACGGATCTTGTGTCGATAATATTATTATGCGCTCTTTTTGAAGCATCTACAGTTGGCTGAGGAAATCTTTCGGTTTAGCTGAGCTTTGCTTCTTAATCACACACAAATTTATAGGTGAAAATTTAGTGCACGCTTATCTGATACGCACGTATTTTCACGCCTGCAAATCGATTCTTGCAGCCGTGAAAAATGAGGGGGATGCCGGTTTCAGCTGTAACTTCCATAACATGGAACAGAATACTAATTCTGTAATATGTATGCAACTTTCAAATATCACAAAAAAAAGATTCGTACTTGCAGAAGCTTCAGACCAAAGTTGGTAAAAATTCGGGACTTTTTTGCCAGTTTATGTTGTGTGCCAAGTGAACGAAATCTTTCGGAATAAGGTAAATCTGAGAAGAGAAGGGAAGTACCCCAAGTGCGACGCTATGATTTTCTTTAAATTTTGCACACACGTCGGTCATGAACTAAATATCAATTCCTGAAAGTTTTAGCTCGCGCTTTGCAAGTGCTGCCGAGATATTGAACGATCTTTGCGGCCGAGAGAATACGCTAAACGTGGAGAGCGGTCAGAGAGAAAAACACTTTTTGATCATAACTTTGGTATCTCATGGGGAAAATATTGATTTTTTTGGACACATTAGCCTCTATGGTAGAAATAGGCACGGAACTTTTCGTGCCGAAATTCAGCAAAAAGTCTCAAATTTTTGCCGACTTTCGATATAAAAATCTCGGTTGTTTCTGTAATTCGCGCTAGGATTCTTGCATATATTTTAGAAAAAATTGTTCTAAATTTGTGCCACGTTTCTTCAAAATCTGAGCGTCGCACTTTGGAAAATTCCCCTTCAGCTTAGCGCATTTTGAATTTTTCGTATAAAATGTCCCCGCGGTCTGCAAAGGATACTTCCCCTGTGAGCTTGTTACTCATTGTCAGGGTGACCCAGATAGGCATATCTTTCACCAAGAAAATATAGTAATCCTTCAACCTCTCAACACTTCAAATCCCCACTCAACCTCAAACAACCAGTATTTTCATTGGCTTGTATAAGACTTCTATTTTCGTAGTGCACCGATTATTCCAGAAGTCCTTAAGATTGCTTCAAAAATACAATGAACAAAAGCAGCAGTGTCAACCCCAAAAAAGGGTACATACCAAAACCCCCCGCATCATCTCCAACCTCTTCTTCAGCGGGCTGAGGAAGCGATAATCTCTTATAAAAGAATCTTATTCGCCGACTCCACCTCTCCGATGGTCAGAGGGCGGACATTGCGTCAGGAAATAGCGAATGTAGAAATTTATTTCGCCAAGGATTAGAGAATACATATTTACTACGGGGTTAAACCGGCAATAAGTACAGTAATCTTGAGCTAATTTTTTGGAAAAAGGAAATTACCGGAAATTGACGGCTAATTGAAAGGTTCAACGGGGGTCGTTGAGTGTAGGATACAACAAATGTAGAGTATGTTTTAAAAATGTAAATATGCATGTATGGAATCACTAATTTAAAAATTAATGCCTAGACCCCGACAGTTGGGGAAATAACATCATGTTTTCGTTTTTTGGCTGGCCAAAGCCATTGTTCCCTAGCTTATTCTCAAAAAAACAAAAAAAAACATATTTTCTTTGGAGCTGACATGCTCTTAATTGACCCATCAAACTACTGAAACGCATCTTGGATGTCGGAGAAAAGTATGATTGGGAAAACCGAACAGTATTATTTTTCCTTGATAAAAATGCCTGTTAGGATAATCAATGGTGCTGCTTTCGAAAATGGTATTCATTTTTTTTTTGATTGTTACTTTTTTCCTTAAGCAGTACTGTAAAATAGTAGTTTTTTTAAATTTTTTCTTACAAGGAAAGTACTTTTATGGGGGGTCCTACTTTTTGACGGGACATATCTCAAAAAATCAGAAAAAATGTGCTGATTAAGGATATATAAATCCTAGCTGCCCATTTTAGGTTTTTAGGGGTGAAAATGCCCAAAAACTGGCTTAATTTCCCTACAAAAAGTGCAGGCATTCGAAACGATAAAAAGCGCAGTCGGTATCTTCCTTCGGAAGAGAGCGGTGTGGCAGAGTGGTTAGTGCCGTAGTCTGGGAATGAAGAGGGGGAACGCCGCACGGGTTCGATTTCCCTTTTGGGCTGAATCAACTTTTTTGAAGATGAAGGTCGGAAAAATAAATTTTTGTGCCAACACTGATCTACTACGTCTTAGAAACTCAATAAACATCATTTTAAGCCAAAATAAAAATTGTAAACCTGTGAAAAATTAAGCGAAAAGGGGTTTATATAGGACCTTGAGTCAACTTCCGATTGAGTTTTCACCCCTAAAAACCTAAAATGGGCAGCTAGGATTTATACATCCTTAATCAGCACATTTTTTCTGATTTTTTGGGATATGTCCCGTCGAAA